CAAAAACTAAACCTCTTTCTCCATATATTCAATTACTTTACTAATTTTGGTTGAAGTATATGTGATAATATATCCTTATATCCAGATGAAAAAAATAAGATAAAGCTAGGGGAAAGTAAAGATGAGGAGCAGAGGGAAGGAAAAGCTGTCTTATCTTGACATGTTATTGATTTTGGTGACCTTTACTCAGGTTTTGTCTAGACATCATAATATTTTGTTCACAGAGACTTTTTCCCTCCCCTACATATTCTTCTGTCTCCCTCTCTCTCGAGGCTAACTGGCCAAAGAAAACACTTTAAAGACTACTGATGTGAATCAGTAGTATAAATCACGTAAGTGCGTTAGTGGTTCAGAGGAAGAATGCTGGCTAACCATACACGTGGTCTGGATGCCATTCTTAGCCGGTGCACTCCTAACTCTCACTTAGTTTATTAGAGGCTAGTAAGTGGGAAAAGAGGAAAGGTTGGCTGTGAGGTTGGCAATCCCACCAAGTAAAAACAACAACATCACTGCTACTGAAACTTCAAGCTTGAAGCTCTATTGCGTAAAAATTTCACCAATCCTGTTTTTACTGACATAGGGTGGGATGGTCCGAAATCCAAATATCGGTTTGAATGTATGGGTTTCCTGTAAAAACTAGTGTTTAACTTTCCATCTTCTTTCCTTTTTACTCTACAATCTAACATTGGAAGCTCCCCTTCTTAACTTTCCAATTCATAATCGAATTGAATGGCCTCTAACTTCGAGTTGATATGTTCAAAAAATCTATTTATGCCCTGTGTTCTAAGTACAGTCAATGTTTCATCTACATACCTCCACTATACTTAAAGGGTGGGGCTGAACGTTTCAGTCACTAAGTTTTCCCACCTATCCACGAATATACCTGTCACCATTGGGGATATCAGAGACCCCATGGCAACTCCCTGAGTCTGTTTGTATATTTTCTCTTGGAATTTAAATACTGTAGAAGTCAGGCATAGCTGCACTCCTAGCATTGTATCTTCTACTGGTAATGTCGTTCTAAGTCCAAGTTCTTCGCCAGAAATAAGTTTCTAACCACTTTTATTAATCGATATGCGTGTATATAAACGTCATCCAGTAAACAATACTGTATGATACATCTAATAAACAAATTAATATGGGGTGACATAGTACTACAGTGCCCAAGTTTTACACGTATACTAAGTTGTGAGGGTTTTTTTCTCGTTTCTTTGCTTACCGGGTGGAACACAGACCTTCAAGCTTTGACGTTTCAGTGCTGATGATGCGTCGACTGGGAATCAAACCCTGAACGACGTGAATGATTGGCGAGCACCTTAACATTAGGCCCCTGATGCACGAACGGTTGTGTAGTTTCTAGATAACAAACTTCAAAATGCAACTTCGACCGGTTACATATGTATTCTCATCATGTTATTGATAAATCTGTCTACCAGCTTTTTGCATGTGTTGTAATACGCAACGATGGTGTCTATTCTGATACCAACCTACATATCACACTTTTAATACTAATAAGAAACTGGATTGAATTGTTTCAAGGTCTGCAGTCCTATTGTCACTAATTTGAAAACCACCTGTCTCTGTTCATCTTAATTCAATTTGAAAGTTATCCAAAAGAAATAAGAAAAACAAAACGAAAGAAAAAAAATACAAACTAACAAAGAAAAGTAGGCAAGATGAAATACTGTCTCTTGTTGTCTAAAATAACAAACAAGTTCAAGTCTTGCTTATTCTGTCTGCAATTACTTTGACTTGCCATTGTCTGTCAGATAACTTTTGTCAAGATTCATGAACAAACGAGAATATGAAAAGAGAAGAAGCAGAAAGAAAGAAAGAAACAATGCTGAAGTATGTGGTTATAATGCCACTAGACCAAAAGGACATCGCGATAACATGTGACTCTGTATGAATTTAAACTCTTTTTTTTCTTTTTACAAAAGCAACAACAACAACAAAGCATCTGTTATTAATGCGCACATATTGAATGAATAAACATATATCTATATGGTTGGCATTGATTGGCGTTAAGATTGAATTGACTAACTGTGTGTATGTATTTGTGATTGTGTATATTGATTTTCTGGCTTTGTATTACAACTGAATATCACTGTATTATTGGCTAATAAGTAGTATCTATAATCATTCTATAGGTTGTTTTTTTCTTGTTGGAGAAGTACGTGGGATGAGAAAAACATCCACTTAGTCATGGTAGTACTTTGGTAAAACTTCACTCTAAAACTAGTAATCGTGTAGGATTCCTGAATGATTGAGACAGTTCGTTAAAGGATTGTGTTTGTTTGCGGCACACCTGATTGATTCTGATCTATCGGTCACGAATTAACATCATCTAATAAACTATTGAAAACTAGGTAGCATATAGACAGTTACTTCGGGTTTGCTTGGAACTCTTCAGCGGTGCACACAGAATATCATCTTCCAAACTGCTGACGAGGATATCAAAGCAAGAATCGGAAAAGCAAGACAAGCTTTCATTACTCTGAAGTCTGTGTGGAGGTCAACAACACTGCTCAGCATCAAAAATAAGATCAGGATTTTCAACTCCAATGTGAAGTCAGTCAGTGCTACTATACGGATCTGAGACTTGGCCAGCGCGTCATAAAGATCATCTCAAACAAACTACAGACCTTCATTAACAGTTGTCTTCGCTCAACACTCAAGATCAGATGGCCAGAGTTGATAAGCAATAGAGATCTCTGGGAGCGAACCAACCCAAAAGGAACCAATTGTGAAACAAATCTGCAGGAAGAAATGGAGATAGATTGACCATACTCTGAGGGAACCATCAAGTGACATCACTAGACAAGCCATTGCTCGAGTGGAACCCGAAAGGGAAGTGGCGAGTTGGTCGTCAGTGCAAGGGTGACTTGGAGGAGGTCATGTGAAGAGGAGCTGAAAACGTGTGGGCAGACTTGGAGCCAGGTGAAGACTCTAGCAGAGAACCGAACGCAATAGAGATGCACGGCTGAAGCCCTATGTTCCTCTAGGAATTAAAGGAAACAATAATAATAATAACAAACTGCTGACAGTTTACAGTCTAATAGATGAATAGTACTTCTTACAGTTGACCTTCATTTGATCTTACCAGTCATGATTCACAATTACGATTTCCTGAAATCAATAATGAGTTACTTACATGCACTAAGGGTAATTTTTATCACAAACTGGTATCATCTGTGATTGTTGCAAGATATGGTAGTTTGGGACTCAGTCCTGTATGTTGCTACACGGTATAGACGATATTGAAGACTTACAACAGGGGATAAAACAGTGCATATAGTTTTCAGTGGTACTCAAGGCAATGTTTATTCGTAATAGGAAACTAAATGAGTATCAATTCATTAATTTATACAAAGTAACGGATAAGCAGCTTCAAATTCTAGAAAACCTCCCTCAAAGTAAAAAAGAAGCGTTTAACACTCCTTTCTGACTTTTTAGTCTTAACCACAAAATTCTGTTAATATAGTCACAGTGTTATCAGTTTTAATGAACGGGCGAAGATTTTAAGTCAGGAGAAATGCCCACATTTGTTAAAAGATGTCTCTGATTGTTTTAAGGTTATTTTTTCAAGAGTTTGGTTTGTAAAGATTGGATATGTTTTTACGAGTTTGACCATGGATTGATATCAGTTAGAGAAACATTGCAAAACAGCACCGGAGTAATGAACAGCTATTTCGTCAGCCTAGTTTAGGGGTCATCAGCAGTACGCATACACTGCCAGGGTTCGAACCCAGGACCTTCAGGTTACAAGCAAGCTAGCTCGTATACCATTGAGCCACTGGGTTCCGATTCAATGGCCAGCCCATGAATTCTAACTTCTACGAATTCGTGATTTAGCGCGCGTGGCCCATGAATGGGCCATCGAATCGGGTCCCAGTGGCTGAATGGTATAAGAGCTTGTCTTGTAACCCAAGGGTCCTGGGTTCGAACCCTGGCAGTGGGTGCGTACTGCTGGTGATTTCCAAACTAGGAGGGACGAAACAACTGTCCAGTACTCCAGTGCTGGTTTTCAATGGCTCTCTAACTGATATCGATCCGTGGTCAAATTCGTTTGAAGGTTGTTGTTAGCGTCCTATTTAAAAAAAAATTAAAATGTCAAGATAAAAATTTTTTGTCATTTGACTGAAATTAGTTTAGTTACAAAACACCATTGGTCTATAATTCATCATTTTGTTCTGCTTTATGCATTGTGGTGATAGCATTGTTGAAAAACTTAAGTGCTTATACTACGCGGTTAAAAGAGCGAGAGAGGATGAGGTTGATATTATCTACTGTCAGAACTATCCCTGAACAAGATTCTTTCCAAAGAAAATGAAATGGTAATAGACAAAGATGAATTTAAACCTCTAGGTGTCAATAATTAGCCTATATTCATTATGTTGCGATCGTTTAAGGTGAGGGAGTGGGGAAAGAAGGACCGATGTGATATGCTTCTCCGTAAAGCAAATCTCAAATATATATCGATTTCATTATGAATTCATTTACTAAGTTTGCTGCCATATACTGTAATTTAACCGAATCAGTAAGCAACTTTTGGTTGCTTTATTGCCAGCTGATTTGATAAGAAAAAACCCTTCAAATGCACCACTATCTTATTATTGTATATGTATCTATAACACACAACAGATTTTTCTCATTAAAGTTCGCACATGATGAACGGCTTTCACAAAGAGAAGAAAACTGACTAAGGTCTGAAAAGTAATTCTGTTTTTCCATTCACCCTTTTAACAACACATAAACAAATACAGCTAGGGACAACTTTTTATTTATTTATTATCATGTACAATAAAAAGGACCACATAGTTCATTGAAAAATTCGACCAATCAAAAAGCATAGATATATATATGTCTAGTTGTCTAACCTTACATCATGGACCATTGGGTGCTGCATATATTTTCAAATGATTTTTCTCGTCCAATCATAAATCAGGTCAGCCCCCACTGAGGCCACACTATGTGAATGAATAGTTTTATTTGTCTGCCTTAACCATGTGACTGAAGGTCAATAGTTATTTTATTTGCACATTTAGCGGCTGTACAAAGTCATAGATAGTTGTAATGTCCAAAGAAATGCACCGGATACCTCTTATATTAACTAACTAAACAACATTGAATCAATTCACTTACGGAATTATTTTGTCGCCTTATTTACTATGTTGTAAGTAAAACCTTTTGCTTTTGTTGTTGGAGCTATTATTAATATTAATATTATTATGCAAATTGTTCTACCATGTGAAAATAACGATCATTTTCACAACTCGTACTTTTGTATCCTACATATATCGATTTTTGACTATACTATAGTATACCAATCCAAGCGAGCAAGCAACTGATTGTGATCCATTTATCTCTCGAATCCCCTATATTTTTTTTCAAATGTCTCAAGAATCACTCTGGATTCCGTGCACGTGCCACCCAAATCGACCAACAAAATCACGATGATACTTGTACAATGAAGCTGATTTCATCAGTTGTTTGAAGTCATTCTGTGTACTTTAGGCTTGGTAGATTTTTGTGACTCAGTTACATGTAAATAATTGTCTCAGTATGAACCATTTATCACTCTCTGTCATTGCCCTTCCAAAGAGGGAAGTTTTTTTTTTGACTATAGCTTGATTCCACACTGTATTTTGGGTACAAGTATGGAATTTGTCAGCATGTGATATCGGTAGCCCAAATTTCGCAGGCCGACCATAGATATTCATCAAGTGTGCGTCGGCTGGGGATCGAACCCCGGACCATGTGCATAGTCGGCGAGAGTCCTAACGGCTGTGCTGCCGACGCAATCGATGAGTAACTGGTCGTAGAATAGTGAAATTCGTTAAACAATGGTGAAGTCAGCACGGTGGTGATTTTGCTTACATATATGGATGCCTGAACATCCACTATCCAGTTAAGTCTTATAACGGTCAAATCGCATCTTATCAGTTTAAATTCATTCTTTCTATTATTCAATATAAAGTAACATTGAAGGTAAAAAAACTTCATATAGGTTTCTGGGATGAACACTAACCAGTAAAGGATAGACACTACAGTTAGATGGCCCCGGACCAACCAATCAGTTCGTTCAGCATTATAAATGGGCGAAGTTCGACAATAGCATCCCCGAGTGCGAACGCTCTAGTGACCTTGAACGCACGTCAATCGTTGGCTAACGGTACCTAGTGGAAATATCAATGCTATTCACCAAATAAGGGGCAATGTGTTAATAGCTCGTTAGGTTTAAGTTTAGGATAAGGGTCGTAATTAAGGTTAAGATTAAGGTAAGGGTTATGACTTGGGATAGAGTAGGATGTAAACAATAGATACCAAAGTCAAATGACCTTGAGACGGCCAATCAGATTCTTCTGGGTGAAAAGTGGTACTTAATTCACAAAGAAGTGTATCTATGATAAGTATGCAATAAAAATTAATCATACAGGGTATATATCTCTAATATACTGCAAAATCTGACCATAGATTCTCATAGAAATGGTTATAGACATATCAAACCAATGTATTCTTTATTTTTCCAGCTGTAGCAGATACTGGTTGCATATACGCAATATATTACTATGGAAGAGCTTTGTAAAGTGGTTGCATCTGAATGCATAACCATCAACAGCCCGGCAATACTTTTGCATAGTCATTATCCCTTCACGTATTCATGTTTTTATTCCTCCCTATCAACTCATTTTCCACAGAGAAGTCAAAAACCAAACCTAGGAGACATTTTCTAAGAGGATAATGACTAGCAACCATTTGTAATACTGAACTATCTAATTGGTCTAATCGAGGTCATTTGACTTCGCTGTCTGTTGTTTACTCTTGCCATAGATTTAGAGTTGACGTCATTTATTTGAATTTGTTTTATTATCCACATTTTCCTAGTAAGTAGTCGTCGATCCCCTTACTGGAAGCCATATTAATTCAACCGAGGGATTTTGGGGGAGAGTGCTCAACAGGATGAGAGAGATAAACGATACACAAAAAACAGCTCGTCTTCAGTCATCTCGGCGAATACATGTAGAGAAACTAATCTAACTCAGCAACTGATACTCCTCATTATAAGTGGGACGCATTTTTAAGTTGTCACAGGAAGATATCCTGTGTAATGTGTTTTCATTCACTTTCCTGTAAACATGCGTCATTTATTCCTCATTTTTATGATTGGTCGGCTCAAGGTCACTAGTGCGTTCTAATTCATTGGGATGCTATTGTTGAACTTTGCGTATGGACGCTTTTCATAATCTTCGTTACAGATTTGACCCTGATTCAGAATTAAGGGGCAACTCTAAACAATAGGAGGCAACTCTAAACAATAGGAACCCAAAACGAAACGACCTACGAACGCACAAATGACCTCGTCAAGAACCAATCAGAAGGCTCAAGAAAAAAACGGCAATAGTCGTCCTATGAAGCACTAAGCGCTAGACAGTAGGCAATAATACACATGCCCTGCGCTTAGGGGTCGCCTCAATATGTCCTTTCTGGAGGCTGGTGTCATATATCCCTAAAACCTATTGCTGGAAAAAACAGTCACCTGATCGGTTGCTCAAGGTCATTTGTGCGTTCGTAGGTCGTTTCGTTTTGGGTTTCTATTCTTTAGAGTTGCCAGATTTGGGATATTGTCTGGGTAAGAAGACCTAGATAATTTCATGCATAGAATTTGGTTAAATTACTCTATTGTTACTCCAATCCAAAAACCGAGGGATATTTTTGTCACATTTCAGAGAAAGGTACCCTGTGCAACAGTTTCATGCCTTTTAATTCGTTGTTTTCATGAATTTATTTACTTAATGTGCAAAAACTGCTGTGATCATGTGGTTGGTGCGTTCAAGGTCATTTGTACGTTGGCACCCACTGGTGCTTAAAGCTTAATTTCACATTAAGGAGGTGGGGTTGTCCGTATGTATTGGAATACAGTTAATTAAGAAATTCATTAATTTTAAAGTTGGTTTCCTTTGATCAGTTGTTCAAGAATATTTATAACGTCCTTGTGGGTGACTGCTAAAAGTGAACTTATCTGAATAGGTTAAAGAACAGTGTCAGAAATGACAATGGATCCCAAAGTACCATAATTTAGTCACCTGGATAGATGCATCTATTGCGCATGTAAAGATCATCCGTGTAGTAACTGAGAAATTCTTACAGCACATGAGTGACAATTATACAGTGTAACACCATGTTTACAATGTTTTTAAAAACATTTTTCAGTAATTATGAGATATTTTGCATCTGAATTCTGATTGGCTGTTCAAGGTCACTGTGATTTTGACTAGGAATGTTTAACTTCACCGTATTTGCATATATGGATTAGAGGAGATTAACATTATTTGAGTAATAATCTGCCATCACTGGGATGGTTGTATATAAGGAGTTATTTCCATTATGTAGCACTTAATTTGTATTTTTTTAAATTTATATTTCTTTACGTTCCCACTGGAACATGGGGCTTCAGCATAGAGCTTTGAAGTCTCAGTAGCAGTGGTATTTATTTTTACTGGATGGGGTTGCTAGCCTCCTCACGCCCAATATTCCCCATTACTGGCTTAGCGAAGTCTAGGAGTGCATCGGCCAGGGATAGAACCCCGAACCACTTGAGGTGTCGTTGGTAAGCATTCTACCTCTGTGCCATCGACACTATGTAGCACTAGCGAGTTGAATAACAGACAGTAGTGCATAGACTTAATTCAAATTAGACTACGGATTTGTGTATGAGGCTACAACTCATGCTTAGAGTTAGCATAAAAAGTACATGGTTTCACCAGTGTACATGCCGGTTGAAGATGAACTATTCTGTGTATCCGTATGAGGAACTGATAAAGGCTTTCCTATCTGAAAGATAGTTGTCAGTAAATTATAAGACATCAGATAGACCATTACACATAAACTTCAACTGTTCATTCATAGATCAGGTAGCATTATTTTGTCGGTGAAGTGTTCCCTTCTGTAGAGATAGTAGCTGTTGCCGGCAGTGTACTCACTCTCCAAACACTTGTATTCCCATAGAGTTGATATCAAGCCATACTTATTGCATGAGGACCAGTGTTACTTTCTGTCTACGTAAACCTCAGTAGATGGAGAGGGGTTAAAGTTGGACATCTAGGCCACTTCACAATAGTTGTTGCGGAGACGTGGCTCACTAACCTAAGCTGTTGGTCCTTAGTCACAGTTCCCGCCCCATCTATTTCGGTCTGGACTACTGGACAGTATCATCATCTCTTATAACATGTGGAGCCCTTAATCTAGTACATGTGGCACTTGTCCCAGTTCAAACTGTTGCAATAATTTAAATGATACAGTGGTGTGTTTGAATTACAGTCGTTTGCATGTTAGTTTCCACTTCATTTCTACATTTTAGGCATTTCACCAGCCGACCAAGAGATAATCCTTTACTCTTAACGGGAAGTTATTGTGTATCGTATGGTTACTATCGGCTTACAGTAGTTTGACTGGTCTTTTACTCCCTGTTAATTATTACTCAGTTTTAGTTTTTCCATTTATTTCGTTATCCTCATGACAATTTCGTTGTGACCTTTAAGCGTTATATTTTTGACGCTTCTCAGAAAGATGCACAGCAATAGTAATGATGATCTAATAAAGCTTAAGGGATATCTTTTGATTCCCAACTAAGTTAATCCGCCCAACTTTCTAGCTATCATTGAAGATTGAAGTTCAGCGTATCATTCGCTTCAAAAACAGCTTCATTGAGGTCACGCTTCTAGTTGTCGGTCGACCTGATGATCTAGGAAAACTTGTTGATATTGGCATATGTAATTTCTGCTCCTGTCTAACTTGCTCATTGTCTTTACCAGGCCTTGCTATGTTGGTGTTTTGCGCAAACTTGTGATAGCCATGTAGCGATAAAAGCCGGGTAAAAGGAATTACGAGAATCTCTCAAAAAGTCGGTTTGATAGGCAATATCTCCTAACCACAAACAACTTTACTCACTTCCATCATGGGGTCCTGTAAGTCCAAAGTGTAAACATTCGTTGGTGTTTTCTGAAAGACTAGCAGGTACCTTTGTATCCAACTCAATATCAGAAGAAGGAAAAAGAGTTGCTAATATCTATCTATCATTTCAGCCAAGCATACATTGAGGAGGCCGTCGAATGACATCTCATACCAGGCCATAGCTCCAGGGGAATCCGAATGGGCAGCGATGAGTGGGTCATCCTAGGGTGACATGGAGGAGATCGTGAGGAAAAGGTGAGAGAGTTTCGTCAAACGTGGACCCAGCTGAAGAGGACGGCAGAAGACTAAACAAAGTGGAGATGTGTTGTTAAAGCCCTGTGTTCCACTCGGAACGCAAGGGAGTAATAATATTATAATAATTTCAACCAAGAGGACTACCATGATAGTCACCAAAACTCATAACAAATCTAGTACACAAAATGGTATCGGAATTCAATCAAGTACCCAATTCACCATTAACTGACTGTAATGTGTCATTTTCATTTTGAGCACAGAGAAGTTTGGATAGGACCACATAAATGGCGTTAGTCGTCGGTTTATTATTAGGTTGTTTATGATCTCCATAGTACTACATAAAACACTCCCGAAAATGTGAATGTGCATCGGTGGCACAGCGGTTAGGACTCTCGCCGATCATGCACATGGTCCGAGGTTCGATCCCCCTCCGACGCACACCTGATATCTATGGTCGGCCTGCTAAATTTGGGCTACCGATATCACACGCTGCAAATTTCATACTTGTACCAAAATACTGTGTGGAATCGAGCTATAATAAAATATAAAAAAAGTATAAAAAATGTGCATCTTTCCATCTTAGGACTCTTCAGGAGTGCTCAAACTTGTCAGAATTCAGAATTGTCATGTCACCATCTAGCCATCATATCGTAGACCGATAAGTCACGTTTTCCAACTTTTACCACTTCTCCATGTAGTTGCAATATTGTCGTCGGGTAACTTCTCACTCTTGACTTAGTGAACCCGACCATTTTTATTAACTTCTCCGTAGAACTGCACGAAGTTAATCTCGAATATTGGACTATCAGTGTCGTTAATCTAATTCTGTGTATGTGGAGATATTTGAAGAGAATGAAAAGCGTGGTTCACAGACTTATAACCACTCTTTTGCGATAACAATTGCTTGTTAGGAAAAATGTATTGGATTGGTTTCAATGTTCACTTTTGTCCATCTACTATCTTTTTGGTGGAAAATCGATGTTGTTATTTGACGCTTCAGTACTTCAAATCACTATCGCGACAGTTGGTTGAGGCATGTAGCGTGTAAATTTCAATTCCCCCTCCCCCTCAAAACCACATCTTTATTGTGGTTTTTAAAATATGACATGTTTCCGTATGATAGTAGCAAAATAAATTCTAGTGTATTTCTGTGATTACCATCGATAGCTGAATGGTCTGTTATGTGAAGTGGCGTGTGCTTCGCTTTTATTATCATCATTAAGTAGACTAGCAGTCTCGGCTGGTTTCTTCCAACATCTATCCTGCGATTGCATTGAAGTACAATTTGTATAACTTTTGCTTTTATACATATTTATATATTCACAAGCAACATATGATTTTTAGACTCTGGTTTTTACACATTGAATAACTGCATTACATTCTAATTATAAACGACGTCTGTTAACTGTCCACTTTTTATCTAAAGGCATTCTCCACTGACAAACCCGTTCCCAATTCCCTGTTCGTCAAGTGTCGTTTCGGAACCAAGTAAATCTTATCAAGCTGATCTCAATGTCCTACAATCTGCTGTACCATTCCTTACGAAACCATTGTTAGCTATCGCAGGCTTTGCGAATCCTAATAATCTTTCTCAGTCTACACCAGTCACCTTTTCTATCCAGACTACACAGGGATTTCAGAATCATCAAAATACACTAAATTTCGGCAATGTAAATAATTCCAGTTTATCAGGATCCTCTTCACTATCATCATCTCTCGTCTCTCTACATTCTACATCCAATGGTTTTTCAACTACTCAACATACCTCAGCATCTCCTGTACCAGTTCATTCAAACCATATTTCATCAGGTAGCAGAGATTCTCGTTGGCTTAAGCTACGCGTGTGTACATCAGTTTTGGGAACATCGAATTCTTCACAAACTAATTCTAACCAATCTGACAATGAGTCAAAGACTGGTGAAACTAAATGCTCCATAAAATCAGAAGATTCTAATACAAGTGATGCTAGTTCTTCAAATTTAACACAACATGAGGATGAAAAAAGTTTTCATTGCACAATTTCGGGAGATACATGTCAGTATGCCCATCCACCGGCAACTGTTCGCGTGGATAATGGTTATGTGACAGTATGTTATGATTTTATCAAAGTGAGTTTTTCCTGAGTTAATAATTACTCCTTTCTTTTAAAGTTCGCAAGTTTACTTTTTAGATGATTTAGAAAGAAGTCTGGTTTCATTCAATTAATCATATTTTTATTAGTAAGAGCATCTCTTAGTCATGTCATAGAAATAAGGAAGTTTTTGCTACTAGAGTATATTTAATCCAACCCATTAGTTGTCCTATGTATGGGCAATTATCTCTATCTTTCTAAGGTGTAATATCTTGCGAGAATTTGACAGGCATTGGCTGAATCATGCTCAATTGTTGACTAGGATCAGAAGATATTGCTAAATTGGTTAGCCATCCTGTTGGCTGAGAGTTTCTTGTGTTAACATTACTGCTTGCATGCATTTGTTCTAAGCCTGGAAGTACTTGGTGCAACTGGTTTACAGCAACAATCGGGACGAAAGCACGTCTATCAGAACCTTTGTTTTTCATTATGTAGCACAATCCTTGGCATGCATCACTTCGACAACACAGTAACATTCGTATGACAATGAGAATAGCTAACATTATACTATAGCCCAAACCAACTTCTGAAATTGACTTACACTTGTCAACCTTTATTTTTGACTCTGAAAATGTCACACATATACAAATCACCGCAAAAATGTATAATATCAATAAACATATAGCAGACACAAACTGTGGTATATCATATAGACGTTGCTGAGATCCCGGAGAAAGAAAGCTAGCTTGTTTTTTCGAAACAGGTGAATATGTATATCCTAACAGAGAAGCTGGCATAACCATCGGTTGTGAGTTTATATTTGGAAATCCAATACCTATAGATGGTTCTAAAGATGCAGATCCTGCATTCTCCTTAGGGACTAAGAAAGCTGCAGCTCGTGAATTTCTGCACTTGTAGTTTTCTGAAGGTTCACGCCAAAGCCACATTCTTATCCATTCTAAAGTTATTATTACTAAAATAAATAAATTCAAGATCACTAGACCTATACTTATTGTTAGGCATTCTGCATCATACCATATACCTGCCAAAATTAACGTACCGATAGCACATAGTCCGATGACAATCATTATAAATGTTGTCCAACAGCATAGGCATCGTGTTAGTTGATAATCCTTGCTAGGTGGATATTTTTTGGTCGGTTTCTTACCACTACTTTTTAATTCTGGATATCCATTTGCGCCCAGGTCACCAGGAGGTGGTAAATCAGGCAATTTTTCGGTTGCATCTTCTGCTAATCCCATATGCTTTAAACGACGAAAAGCATTTTCAGGAACTGTACGACCATTTTCACTTTGTATCATTCTTGGAGCGTTTGCTTTTGGACTGCTAGGTATGAAATATTTCTCTTCTTCTCGAGTAGAAATACGTGAAGCTGGTTGGTTTTGAGTATTCTGATCAACAGTTGGATTTCCCAGAGATGATTGATAGAATGTATTTCCTGTTAAATGATCGCTTTCATTTTTTCGTAATTCTGGATAGTTATTAATTCCTTCTTCTGAGGATGGTTGATTGTCTATGCGAGTTCCAGGCTGTGGGTTACTCATCAAAGCGTCAGCAGGTAATGTACCAGATGGTTGTGAGACTTCATTTGATTCTAGTGGTAAACGTTCGTCATATTTAGGTTTATTCCAATTTCTTTGATGGGAGACTGTGAATTCTTGTGAATGGTGATGATCATATATATCATGACTTTTGTGTAAGTTATTCGGATTTGTAATAGAAGTAATCTCACGCCATTTTGTGTAGAAATTTTTAATATTCATTTCTTTATGTCTTCATTATACTTAGAATCCGAACGTCATTGTTTTTTTCTCAGACCCGTTTGTATGAATTATTGTTTTACACTATAAGCTTTTTGCGTATAGCATACTGGATTGGTCGATATTATGACTGGCATCTGTACATTTAAAATAATAATCGATCGATAGATAACACAATTATTCTAAGAATGGTTCTTACTGCATACTTGTTTTTTAATACCTTTTTTTCTACTCATATGATGGATTCGAATGTTGTTCATTGAACTTTATACTGGTGTTTTTGTCACAAACAGTTTATCTGTTGAATTATTATCTTTGCATTGTTTGCAAACAGTGTAACTCACTCACTTGGCATATGTGCTCAAATGCACTAGGAAAGCAGTACTATCAATGTTTCAGGGTCAATCATACAATCTGACTGTTCATGTTTTCTCACAGTTAAAGTTAAGTTCAAACCTGTCGTCATTATAGAGTGAACCTATGAGTCACAACTCATGTGAAAAATCCATTAATGGCAATACCATACAATCTTATTGCTGTTTTAAATAGTGACAATACGACAAAATTCTCTGTAGTGTATATTATATGAAGTGCATAATGACATTGTTTCTGTTCTAGTCATTTTCAATGAAAAAAAAAACAACTTATGGTTCAACCATTTTTCGTTTAGTATAACAGAATGTATTATTAAGCTTAGTTGTTTTTTTTTCGTAAGATGAAAAACGATAGAAGTAAAATTGAAAAGTGTAGTTTACAGAATACGTTTTTGTTCGTTTAAGCCCAACTAGGAGGGATAGTCACATGTATTGTGTGATGGCTGGTGATACCGTCAAATTGCTCATGTTGAAGTAGACGAGACGAGATTCAAACTTGTGACCCATTGCTCACTGACCCTCATTGCCTAACACTCTATGCATATAATCTGGATATTACTGACTATATTATACCACTTAAAACCGGGGACAGAACGAATTGAAAGCCGGAGGACATAAGTGTGGAGTTTCAAAGCGATTTTGAACATAATAGGATTGGTGCATTGTTTGCATTCAGTGTGAAGAGATAGATGTTTTCAGTCTCAGGCACATGCGTTATATGTTGTCAATGTGTCTGGATACCTCAATGGGTGGAGTGACATGAGAACTTGTCATCCACTAGTTGATAGCCGGTGTTGTATTTGAGTTATCGAAGGAAACATGATTTCTGTATTTCCTCTGATTTCTTTGGGAAGGGGAGCTTCGTCAGCTCAATTGTGCGGTAAACTCTTCTGCTTGCAAAAGCATCAGTGTGGAGGAATTGTCAGTGATGTGCTATTTGAAGAGAATTAATAATAATAATAATTTGCTTTATTCCAAAACAGTACTTGTGATACAGAATGGAATTCTCAGCATTTTTACTACACTATTGCATCCAGTTAGTACATTATCGATAAATAGAATTCTACATAGATTAAGGAAATCTCAGTTCATTGTGACAACAACATATTGGCATGTCGGTAGCAAAGCCAAAGTTGAATAGTGTTTGAAGGTGTTAGAAAAGTAGGTGCTATCATATTTACTGGCGTAAGCGAGAGAAAGAAACAAAGCAGCACATAACAGTAAAAAAGAGAGAGAGAGAAAAGGAAAAGAAAGAAAGAAAATGTTGTACCTATAAATGATATTAGTTGGAAAGACGAGGTCCAGTTTTTTTTTTCCTTCACGTTCCCCAGTGGAACATAGGGCTTCAAGCTAGTGGCTTGAAGTTTCTGTAGCAGTGTTTATTTTACAGGATGGGGTTGCTAGCCTCATGCCCAACCTTTCCTCTTCACCAGTATTATTTCTGGCTTAGCGAGGTAAAGGAGTGCGTCTGTGGCCGGGGATCGAACCCCGGACCATGTGCATGGTCGGCGAGCGTCCTAACCGCTATACCACCGACGCACACAGTCCAGTTGTACTACAGACTATTTAATGAATTATAGGTGTCACGCCTAATGCTTTCTTTATCACACAGAAAACGAGCTAAGTAGGGTATGGTTGAGTTTTTTTACTTGTTGGTGCGAGCATATAGTTTTCTATTATAGGCTTCTGGTTTTGCCTGATGAGATGCAAGGAGAAAGTTGTGAGTGAAGAGGGTGGTGTGAGTTAGATAAAGTGGATTTGGCGCATTTTTCACATGAGTCCATGTGCCTGTCAACCAGAATATTAACAAGCTGGTTAAGTGGCACGTTGCTTACCCTGCTGACAACCTTTAACATCCTGCATAATATGTTATAGTCTTTCTTCAGTAGCCCGGGAAAAACTAAGGGGGAACAATAGAGAATAATAGGCAGAATGATTTGCATACAAATCAGCAGTTTAGATCAGTTGGACAAAATTTTGTTATTGACGATGGTGGTGGGCATGTTGTGATTGTCTACAAAAATAAACTGAAATCGTTAATTGTTGGTGCTGAAACTAATTAGAAAGTTCTTTGGAAGTGACTGGACTCACTTTGTTGTAAAACCGATGGTTTACTGATATATTTTGTATCACCGGTTGAGTGCCAACGTAGAATTTTGCACTGAAGTGAAATACTTCAAGTGAACACACTCCGTGTAGCATACAAAGGTAGACAAAAAGAGAGAAAAGAAAGAGATTGAAAGGAAATATAATAAGTGGAGAAGTATGGATGAAAGAATGGTAACACGGAGAAATACGGAAACTTAATGAATGCAGGAGATTGCAAGGAGTGAATGCATCTGCGCCACTGAGAACAGTTTTGAGCTCTGTCTCCAATCCAGTGATCTCGAGCCATTGGTTCTTAGCATTTCAAGGGCCCAGATCTGGCAGTCTGCATCTCCCTACTTGGCTCAATCCATCTGCAAAAGATTTCATGGATTTGACGTACTCATTTTGAGGTTTTTTCTGTTACTTTGCGTTCCTAGTGGAACATAGGGCTTCAAGCTAGTAGCTTGAAGTTTCTGTAGCAGTGTTTATTTTTTACGGGATGGGGTTACTAGCCTCATGCCCAACTTTATCTCTTTACCAATGTTATTACTGGCTAAGCGAGGTGAAGGAGTGCGTCGGCCGGGGATCGAACCTCTGACCACCTGCGTGGTCGACGAGCATTCTATCACTGTGCCACTGACGCACACCATTTTGCTGTACTCATCACTAACTTATTTTCAGTCTAATCCTATATCATCTAACATTACCAGTCGAGGAAGGCTATGGTTGAGCATGAGTAACACATGTCCTAGCCATCTCAATCCATATGGCTTCTCAATCTCATCGGCTGATATTTTTTTCCTTATCTAACACTACATCTAACTTCAGTACTACTCACTATTATTAAATCACTTAGCGCGTCGGTGGTTCAGCGGTAGAATACTCACCGACCAACCACACATGTGGTCCGGGGTTCGATCCCTGACCGATGCACTCCTAGACCTCGCTAAACCGGTAGTAAAGCTAGTAAAGGAGGAAGTTTTGGCATGAGGTTAGTAACCCCATCCCGTAAAAAGAAATCAACACCGCTGCTACGGAAACTTCAAACCTTTAGCTTGCAGTCCTATGTTCCACTGGGAACGTATAGGAATAAGATAAGATTATATCATTTAAGATGGGAGATAGAACGCAGTTATTCGTGATCGAAGACAGTTTGAATCTTTACATCTTCCATTTTTAATGACCATTTCTCAGAACCATAAAGAAGGGGACATCGAACTGCTGCTCAATACACAAGTACTTTGAATATATATATATATATATATATATATATTATATAATAAAAGGCAGTGAAAGGTTATATATTTTGTGTAATCTTTCGTTGCCTTTTATTATTTTTTATTGTTCTGTTTCTGTTCTACCTTCGAATGTGTTCATTGACATGTTTTTTCTACACAGCGGAAGCTCTGCAAATTTTCCTACTGTAAATACTATCACCCACCTCCGCATCAAACTGAAGCAATTATAAAACGTGGTGATGAACAAAGAAAACTGTTGGAAAGTCAACAACGCTTATCTGAATTAAAGGTAATTTATGCTTAATCGTCTTTATTTTCATTGGGCTATGTTTCAGTCATTGTGTTTGTTTCTGTTTGTATCTGTATGTATTAGCAATAACACTTTTGAATGCACACACACACCCTTGGGTTCCGAGCGGAACATAGGGCTTTAACAACACATCTCCACTTTGTTTTATTCTCTGCTGTCCTCTTCATCTGGGTACGCGACTCCGCATAATCTCTCATCTCCTTCTCCTCACCACACGATCTCCTTCATATCACCCTCACATTGATGACCCGCTCATCGCTTCCTATTCGGATTCCACTGGAGCGATGGCCTGCACTGCGCGCGATGTCATTCGATGGCCTCCTCAATGTATGCCCGATCCATCTCCGTTTCCTCCTGCATATTTGTTGAGCAATCGGTTCTTGGTTGGTTCATCGCCAGCTAGAGTTTCTCGCCGCTAATTCTTTCTGGCCGGGTGGCCATTTGATCTTCAGTATGGAGCCAGAGAAGGTGGCAACTTTTGATAAAAGCCTGCAGTGGCGTGTTGGGAATCCTTTTATTTGCCTCTTTTGATATAATTAACTATGACTTTGTGCGTCAGTTATCCAATGGTAGAACGTCTGCCAACCACAAACGTGACCTGGGTTCGACTCTCGATTGAAGCACTCCTAAACCTTATCCAGGCTGTAATAATTCCAAGAAAAGAAAGGGTTGAGTGAGGGGGGATGAGACCTACAATCCATTGTTTATCACATTAATTAGATACCAATGCTAGTCTAATGATCCAGATAATTGTGCATCGGTGATTTACCTAATGATTTATTCTTAAGCGGAGCATGTTTTGTGAGTGTTTTGAGCAATTAAAGTCGGTCGATGTTGTGTCACACTATTGTTTTTATTTTGTCAGTACTCGTTTATATATTTATTTCACTGTAGGAAAAAGACAATAATGTTGTGGGCATCAGTGTGGTCTTCTTTCCCCCTACAGTTATATTTCTCACAGTGTAATGTTTTTATTTTTAAGCGTGGGGCTAAGTATTTCGGCTTTCTACCTTTACTGTTAAATTTTTCTGTTTTCGATCTATCTGAATCAATAACTTGATGCCTAATGTAGTATTTTGGTTTCTATTCTTAGTAACCTTTTATTTTATTTATAATTTTATTTCCTATAGTTTGGTTTGTAAGGGTTGGTGTTGATTTTTACGAGTTGATCACAGATTGATATCAGTTAGAGAAGCATTGAAAACCAGGGAGTACTGGATAGCTGTTTCATCCTAGTTTGGGAATCATCGACAGTACGCACGCGTTCCGAGTGAAATACAAGTCTTCAAGCTTAAACTTCGAAGTTTCAATTACAGCAGTTTTATTTTTACGGAGTGAAGTTGTTCGCCTCACATCCAACCCTCCCCTCTTTATCGAGCTTAGTGAATTTTGAGAGTGCGTCGGTTAGGGATCGAACCCCGGAAGATATGTGTGGTTGGCGAGCATTCTACCATTGTATCACTGACGTCCTTGATAATGCTATTGCCTACTATTTCAGGACAGATTCTTGATTTATGTGATCACATTCTGAGAGAGAGATTTTCGTTACTGTTATACTTTTTTTGTGTTTGAGATGTATATGTGTGTATTATGACCTTAGCTGACAATTGATACATTGACATTAGTAACAGAGTATACTTGTCTGTTTGTCTATCCATTTGTCTGTCTGTTTATCTCCGCTATACACCCCTCCGTTTGTTACAAATATTTATTCATCAGAAGTGCACAGCTATTTGGCAGGTCCGTTTTTATTGTGCTACCATTACAATCACATTACAAAGCAAATAAAAAATAATATTATCGTTATAGTATGGACCAATAGTCATTTTATGACGCGCACTACTGATACTGTAATGGCTTTTGTTTGTTTGTGTGTTTGTGTGCGTGTATGTATGCGTGTGTGTGTGTGTAACCATGGTTATATGCCGACCGCTTACCAATATCATCAACTCATCATTTTTTATTTGTGCTCACTCCTATTCATCTAAGTTATAATTTCGCGATTATTGACGTGGTGATATGATGATATGATAATCTGCTTTTTGATAAAATGACAATCTGTGCCAATTTTGTGGACTTAGATTTATCACTTGTATATTCTTTCGTGAAAATGTATTAATGAATAGTTGAATATATATGAAGTTTTTATTTACAAATATTTAACTATATAGATATATACACTAAATTATTCCTTCAATTAGACATCCAATCTCATTTCAATGCAACAACCCTTGCAACAGACACTCCCCACCACCGGTTTGCCAGCTCTTAGTTCGGTAGCAGGAGGTGGAGGGGGAGGAGGAGGAGGCTGTCCTTCAACGCTGAGATGGCCGCCTTCAACAACACTGTTACAGCCTACTGCTGTAGGTGGTGGACCAGTTTATGGGACGTATTTAACACCTCTAAATTCTCTAACAGATCCAAATTCATTTAGTGCATCAGCTATATTGGCAGCAGCCGCTGCTCTACAGCATACTAATCTTCCAGGTCATGGTCTTCTGTCGACTTCTTCTCCGTTGACTGGCGGTTCAACATATTCCCATGAATCATCTATGCTTTCTAAATCGTGTAAAAATGGTGATACATCTACAGTTTTCACATCAGAGGTGAGTCATAAATTTAACAAATGCCATTAGTTAGTTGTTCTCATCATTCATGGTTTTGTTGATGATATGTTGACTATGATCATACTTGTTAGAATCCCGTTCGTTATCTGTCGCTTAAATGTCTAGTTTATTGTTGTTATTGTTGTTGCTGTCGTTGTTGTCGTTGTTGAATACGTTTTCGCCGTTGTTAACAGCTTGCAAGGCAAAAAGTGTTGTCTGCGTTTTGCTTGCAAATTTGGTTGCTTAATCATTTTAAGAACACAGACACTGACTGTGAAACTGTTGTCACTAAAAGTCAAATAGTGAAGGAATAAATATAACCTGCTAATTCTAGTCGGTTGCGTTGCATTCTTAGTCCGTTGTTTCATCACTTTGCCTTTTTTTTTTACTGCTTTCCAATTTTGACATGAATTCTTGCATGATTCTACATAATAATGCGCTTTTAGTGCTTTATGTAGACCAATTTAATTCAGTTTAGCTTATGATATATTCTTGTAATTAACCTAAATTTAACATGTTACGTGGCTGGATAACGGTATTTACTGTGTGGAACTCTATTTATCCGACAGATGATTCATCATCCAGCCTAAATGAGTTGAAAAGTGATACTGCTGCTGGATTCAACATAGAACTTGGCACCGAGGTGCAGCATTTCGAGTTGCCACGTTCCAAAGAGCACACAAAGGTAGACAGGAAAATGAGAGAAGAGAATCAATAGAATTTAGATAAGTATAAGAGTGAAACAGAATGAGTAATGGTAGAAAGGAATATGAAGGTTAAAGAGACTGAATACATCTGCGTCACTGACAACGATTTTGAGCCATGTCACCTATTGTCTCCAGCCATTGATTCTTAGAGTCCCGAGGGCCCGAACCCGGAAGTCTGCATCTCCCTACCTGACTCAGTTTAACTGTCAGGGATTTCATGGATTGATGCCATGTTTTTGTTTGAAAAGTGATAACTCGTAAGTGACCGATTGTAGATAAAACAGAATGATGAAAAATGTGTCTTCAGGCATGTTTTAGAATGTGTGTGTAATACTTAGTGGACTGATGAAATGTGAAGACCAACATCAGTCGGAAGTGTTTATTGAAAATGTCTCTGATTTCAATACTATGTGATCCAAGTTACAATTTTAAAAAGCGATGAGGCTCTATCTTCAAGGCCGTAGTGCTCTTTGCTGTATTCTACTACCCATTTGTATTTTTTGAACTTTAAATTCCAACCTTCTCCTGTGATAATCATAATAGCTTTATTCTGGACAGTGTTCATATAATATGCAGAATTTTCAGCGGAATTTATTGCCTAATATTTTCTTATCGTTCAGGAAAGGGGATGATCAGAAATCCACAGATCGGTTTGAATGTGTGGGTTATCTGTAAACACTAGTCTTTAACTTCCTATATCAGTAAAAATAGGATCAGTGAAATGTTCTAGTAATAGGGCACAAAAACTAAATAGTACCAGAGAAAATCTAAGACAGGAAGTGAGACAATATAAGAGGAGCTTTGAAACTTAATTATTAATCTGATAAATTAATCAGGAAGTATGTAGGAAAGTGTAAAAATTAAATTAATAGTAATAATGGTAGTGACAATAATAATAATAATAATAATGATATGCATGCTAAACATACACAGAATGGTGACAACACCAACAATAAGGAATTTAAATCATCAGTAGTACTTCCATACAAAGAAGGAACCTCGGAAACCGTATTCAGTATCTGTAACAGTGCAGGAATAAAACTGGCTGGTATTCAAACCCATAAAGTCAATTAGAAAACAAGCCTTGTCGGTTAAAGGATGCTGTGGAGCCCATTGACCAAAACAATTCAGTTAATCTAGTACCCTGTCTGCAATGATTGTCAGGTCAGATACACATGTGAAAGTAGTGGAACGGTGTCCGTCAGACTAGCGGAGCAGCACAAAACACCCAGCATAAAAATCTAGATTAGTGAGCCCTAATAAGATAGGAAATCCGGTGAGTGGTTCAGCTATAGCACTCACTAAATGCAGCTACATACAACCATGCTGCAGCTAGATAGATGGGATAAGATGACAGCTCTAAAGTCTAATATTGACAGGCTGGAGGAAGAAATTGATAACGGAAGTTTTATTTCTATTGAATCAAATGAATATACGTGCAACTGGAATTATGATTCAGCGCCTGTCCACCTGAATATCTGGAAAATTCTACTACCCCTACTACAAGTAAGAAAGAATTAAGAAATCTATAAAACGAAAGTTTCGAATTTGTGTGGTTATAATTCACATGATTATGAAGAATAATAAATTGTGTTCGACACTTTGTCATCCAGTGTATAATACTGTTTCACTGTACTATATATCTAATAAATGAATATTAATAGAATTACATATTAACATATTAATTTATCCCAAGCTGTAAACATTTTAAATACTCGTTGTGACGCCAGAAATTCTATTAGCCAATTCGTACACTTCAAAAAGTCACTTCAGGTATCCTTTGTTAAATTCTATCAAGCTCAGTAGAAATTTCAAAAGACTGGTTACCGAATATTCTTTTCGATAACTTCTTCAGTTATATATGTCCAAACCAAGTTCACTTTTAACAGTTTGAAAAAATTTGGGCATTGGGTATATGATATTCATTATAATAAAGGTTTCCTTGTATTTTCCAATGAATGAAAAACAAAACGATATTGTTTTTACTGACGTTTCGCCATTTAATGCTGCTAATAGCTTTATCAAAGTATTATTAAACCGGAATTTACAAAATCTCAGTATATATATAACAAACAGTTAGGGGGTGAGAAAATAGACATAGGTCAAGTTAGAGGGACATATTGAAAGTAAAATAGCGATGAAGATAACTAAACCAAATAACAAAGGTAATAGTACATCTGTTATGGTATCAAAATAAAGTTTACTAACTTGATCATCGTTCGTCAGTCGGGGGGCATCTTTCGTTGTCAAGTTGGTCAATTGGTAAAGATAACAAAATCAAGTGTAGCTTGTTGGATTTGATCAGTGTGTAAAATTATAAAGGCAGTGTGTGTTTACATTGTGAACTTGCATACCATATTCGTGTTGATTTTGTCACTTCATGGGGGAGGGAGGTGTTGTAAACAGGTCAGATTCTGTTTTAGTTCATCATTCCTATTCAGGCAATTTGGATTCCACTTGATATGAAGTACTTATGATATTAGACGTTCTTTACGACTTCTGAAGTTTTTCTGGATTATTTCAATATTGTCAAAGACAATTTTGTGACCTGATTCTATAGCATGTAGACCTATGGCTGATGATTTTTCAAGTTTTTTCAGTTCAATTGGATTTCTCGGTGGTCGAAGAGATGCTCTGTGGTGTTCATTTCTTCTGATTTTGATTTCTCGAGATATTTGTCCGATGTATATCGCATCACATTCCAAGCATTTTATTTTATAGACACAATTAGATAAAGAATCTTTAGGGATCTAGTCTTTTATATGGACAAGGTTGTTTCGTAGTGTTTCTGATGTTTTAAAGAAAACTCTAATGTCCTCTTCTTTAGTTTCTACAGCCACATATGTTCATAATAATTAAGAACTTATTGTTATTATTAACGACATTTATAAGACAAATTTTACGAGATGATAGCAACATGTCGTAGTTTCTTTTCACAACTAACATGGTTCAAAATAATAAAATTAAATAAAGTGCATGACAATTACTCACTTATATAAAAAACAAAAGTACATACTGACATCTAATCATATTTAAATAGGTCAAATAGTCAGTACATGGTAAGCGAAGGTTTTTGAAAAAAAATAACAACGACCTATTGACATCAAAATTCCAGGAGGTATATATGCGAATAGAGATTGTTAATAGATTATAATGGTTGAAAACACGCCTCTATATGATAATATGTGCATAAAATGTAACACTAAACTGAACATTAGATTTCAAAAGTAAATGATCATGAATAATAACAATGAAAATATGTGGTAATCAGTGCTTATCAATAAAGTTCATATTGAATTCTATTCACATACGGTTTATAAATTACATGTGGATAAGTGATAATATCAAAAACATGAAGAGGCAATAGGATAGAATGTTGTTTGTGTGTGTGTGTGTTTCGGTGTGTAAGCGAATTACTGAGTTCAAATCAGAAAACAATGATCCTTTAATTTTTTTCTATAGTTTGGTTTGTAAGGGTTTGTTATGTTTTTACGAGTTGATCACGAATTAGTAGAAGTTAGAATTCATGAGCCATTGAATCGGGTCCCAGTGGCTGAATGGTATACGAGCCAACTTGCCTTGTAACCGGAAGGTCCTGGGTTCGAATCCCAGTGGGGTGCGTACTGCCGATGATTCCCAAAACTAGGATGAAACAGTAGCTGTACAGTACTCCCTGGTTTTCAATGGTTCTCTAACTGATATCAGACCGTGATCCTCTAATTACTACGAATTCATATAACCTGTAGAACTTGAAGAGGAAGAAGTTATCGAAAAGAGTATTCTTTGTTCACTAATCAGTCGAAATTGCATTCATTAGGTAATGTTATTATTTGTCTTTATTTTATTCCTTTGCTTTCCGAGTGGAACCTAGGGTTTCGAGCTTGAGCCTCGAAGTTTCACTGGCAGTGGTTTTAGTTTTAACCGGGTGGAGTTGCTAGCCTCATACCCAACCTCCCGTCTTTATTGGGTGGGTTTACAACCAACCAGCGAAGGTAAAGGTCTGCGCTGGCTGTTAATCGAATCCTGGACCACTTCCATAGTTGGCAAGTACTCTACCGCTGAACCACCGATGCACCAGGCTATATGGGGCGCTGTTCATTATTGTCGGTACATTCTATATCTTGGTTGAAAATAATCCTGTTTTCCTTATACAATAAGAGAAAGTTAGCCGTCGTGTGAACTTAGCATTGTTATATATCATCTATACTAGAAAATTGTATTCGTTCTATTTTGATTTAGTCATAATTTCTGACAAACAATTACCGAAGGAAGTAGTTCGTCACATTATGCCGATTTCTACGTATATCTTTTTAGATGCAAATGTGAGGTCTGTGTGTGTGTGTGTGTGTGGCGGGGGAGAGTTTGAAGTTTAAACATATTTCCATGGTGAAAAGTCTCTTATTTGATTTGTCAAGGACAATGACTGAAGGTGAAATAAAAAAACACTGGGGTCGCGACAGCCTAGGAATTGAAACCAATGAGTTCAGTAAGCCAATCCAAGGCTATTTCATATAGTCTCACCGGTAATTTAACGATTTCGTTGAGTTTTTCCAAAGGTTTTGTCATTGCATTTGATTACTATAGGCAGGAATAGCAACTTGTGTATCGAGGATTGTCTGCGTCTTTAGTAAACAGTCGTCGTTGAAACTAATTCCACAATCAGACAAAGAGTGTTCATTATTGTAAAGTTTTTGTATTTCCCAATGAATGAAAAACAAAATTTTCTGTTTTTACTGGCGTTTCGCTGTTTGATGTTAATAGCTTTACCAAAGTATTATTAAACCAGAATTTACAAGATCTCAGCTTATATATATATGTAACAACCTAATCAATGTTCTTCAGCATGAGATAATTTCTACGTTGTCAAGTTGGTCAACTGCTAAAGACAATAAGACCATCTGTAGATTGTTGGATTTGATAAGTGTATGATATAACAAAAACAGCACGTGTTTACACAATAAAATTGCCCATGACATTCGTGTTGATTTTAACTTTATGACGGGTGGGTCGGTGGGTGTTGGGACAAGGTCAAGTTTTGTCTTACTCCGTCTTTCCTTTTCAGACAATTTCGATTCCATTTAATATTAAGCGCCTCTGATATGAGACCGTCTCTGGGATTTCTGAAAATTTTCTGGATGGTTTCATTATTGTCACAGTCATTTTTGTGGCCTGATTCTCAGTGGTTGAAAAGATGGTCTGCGGTGTTTATTTCTTCTGATCTTGATTTCTCACGAGGTGTGTCCAATGTATATCGCATCACACTCCAAGCACTTTATTTTGTAGACACAATCAGATTGTGAATGCTTTAGAATTTGGTCTTTTACACAGACAAGATTGCTTTTTTTAGTGTGTCTGATGCTTTGAGTAGTCTGATAAATTTATTAGCATTAAATAGCTGGCAGACTTGGAGCCAGGTGAAGACTCTAGCAGAGAACCGAACGCAATGGAGACGCACGGCTGAAGCCCTATGTTCCTCTAGGAATTGAAGGAAACAATAATAATATACGTCATTAAAAACAATGTCGTTTTGTTTTTCATTCATTGGGAAATAAGAAACTTTTATAACGGTGAATATTATGCACCTGATGTTCAAATCTTTCCAGAGTATTAAACATTGACTTGGTTTTGACATCCATAGATAAAAGCGGATTCATTGTTCTACCTTAGCGCCAAGCGGACTGTTTATTAGAATGATCACAATGGTAGTTTCTGTCTTTTAGTTAACTTATTCAACGCAATACTATCAGAATAACTTGACTGTTGAGTCGGTTTCGTTTGAGGCAGCGGTTTCTGGATAATCTCTGTCGTGTATACAGATCCGGAAAGTCCATGTATGCAGTGTTTGAACACACCAGTAGACCTTTCTTAATGTTTTCTAGGCATTCTTCACATTATATTTTTGTATTCACCTGGCTAACACAAAAATTGGATTTATAACAGAGCGTTTAATAGTTTCCCTATTTGATTATATTTATCGCTTTACTAACATCTGGTCAACTGGGATGTGCTGTGTGAAGCCGTTATTCTGATACAATGATGATCATACCGCAATTATACAACACGATTTTAACAAATTCTCATTTGAAACAATGTGGATGAATCGAATCAAATAGGATGTGTGCACTAGTAAGGGTAGAAGGGGAAAATAACCGCTGTCACATAGCGACGAGATAGATAGCAATAATAAATTGTGTAACTAAGGTAAAGTTAGCAGTGGAAATGAAAATAATATTTGAAGTTATCCAGTGTCAACAGGAGTGATGATAACTGTTCTAAGTTGGGGGTCAAGGCCATGGGAGACAGGGTAATTGAACTCAAGTTCTTCTGAACACAGAGACTGGGTCGAAAAATCCTACGGCAACTGCCTCAGCTATACTTTGCAATCGAAGGTATATAAACTTAGGGAATTGAAGTGGAACCTTGTATAGAATTGTAGTAAGAGCTGAATTTCTACCAGTCTTGTCCTTCGTATCCACAAGATGTATCAGTATGGAACTTCTGATGGGTGACCTTCCGATTGACTCGTTTATCTAACTGTGTCGGACAATGCTCTACTTACGTAACCGTCTCCCACAATTATAGATTCTAGTTTTATTCTATGCAAACAGTTAAAAAATTGTTATCGGCCTAATTATAATCAAGTAATTATGCTTTACATTTTCAATCATTAACTGAAATCCCTTAACATCATGAATTCTTGATATCCGTTTGATTTTTGGTTGCAAATGTTATTTCGTTCGTTCGTTCGTTGTGTTTTTAATGGCGGTTTTGTTTAATCTTTATTCCTTAAATTTATAATTATACATTAATACTATTATTATTATTCGTGCTCTGCATTTTGTGCTGCTTTCCTGATTTAATTTTCACTCCTTCCTTATCCTCACAACATATGTATGCGCATATATGTATATATATACATAATCATCTCTGGTGGTGACGTGCTGTTGCTCACTCATTCTTTTGGTCGCTGATTCTACGTTTGTACACGCGTATGCGCTTCACATTTATCTGTTGCGCTTATAATACTACTTACTGCATTATTTCAGCCAAGTGTGCTAAGCTTTAATGGTTGCAATGCTGCTATTACACGATTGGTGAATTGTCTATCAAATCCACAATCATCTACTGAACTGTGTCAATCTACTCAACAACAATCACAACAACAACAGCTACATACTGCGGCTAATCTACCAACGAATTGGCCGTTAGCTGCATCTACCTCTGTTACATCTATTGATAATAATAATAGTAATAATAATAACAACAATCTATCAAGTATTACAATCAGAAGTGAAGCTGCAAATGGTCTTCCCAGCAATACTGACACATCGATTGTTCGTGTGGGCATGAAACGTGAGGCTAATATTGCTACTGGAACTTTTGAAAATAGCATGGATATGCATGTGGGTGATTCGCTTATTTAATAATATATGTATTTTTTTAGTTGTTGTAGTCTTTGTTTGCTTTGCTTTAATTACATAATGCTTCAGCTTTGTGTTAATATAACATGTTATTCTATTTATTTATTTATTTATACTGTCATATTTTTACACTATGAATGTGCTTTATTGTTATCAATCCATAGAGTATAAATAATGATAATAATGATAATAATAATAATTACACGATTGTTTATGATATTATAGCTCATCACTTTTTATTTCATTTGGTGATTCTGTTCTCTCTGTAGCATGACAGAATGAAATCAACTTGTTTTCAGTTTTTCAGTAGCGTCTTATGTGCAGTTTAATGGTTTATTTTCTGTAGATTGAATCAAAGAAGCAACATCTCCCTCTGCCTGCATACATATATCATGTATGCATATACTTGTATTCATGTTGTGCGTCGGTGGCACAGTGGTTAGGACTCTCACCGACCATGCACATGGTCCGGTGTTCGATCCCCTTCCGATGCACACCTGATATCTATGGTCGGCTTGCAAATTTGGGCTACTGATATCACATGCTGGAAATTCCATACCTGTACCAAAAAATACGATGTGGAATTGGAATCAAGCTGTACTAAAAAAAATAAAAATAGAATGAGGCGTCAAATGTTGTTGGTTATGCTTTATAAGGTCACTCTATTTCTGTTCTCAGTTCAACTGTATTTCTCTGTGGCGGACGATAAACAAAAACTGACGGGACATGTCAGTTTAAATTCACCCACTCTTATACTTGCTGGCTATCGGAAATATGTCCACATATTGTCAAAGTTCATTAGATCTTCGCGCATTGCTAGTTTACTGGTTTTATTTTATAGCGGCATGTATAAATACATAAAAGTAGCAGTTATCTTTCGATTGCAAGCTAACAAAACAATAACAACTTTTATAAGAACCCTATCTTTGTCGGCTTAATTACCTGTCCAATTTTCCTGTTCAATTTGTAATATGCATGGATCACCTGCCTAGCTCTAAACTATATCACTTCGGTCCAATCAATCGACGGGAAAATCTAAAATCCAATTAAATCAATATGACCCGTTGCACAAGAGGTGGCTCTCGTGGCCCAAGTGGTCTAGTGGATAACGCTTTGGCGTTTGAAACTATGGGCACTGGGTTCGAGCCTCCATGGTGGGAACATCATCACTCACTGAGAAATGCAGGTACATCCAGCTGACAAGTCGCAAATAGGAAGAAATGCACATCCTGGATTTCACTGCTAGTCACCATCCACCAATTATATACCAGAAATTATTCAGTAAATATTCGTTTAGATTTTCAAATCTGATCGCATCAACAACAAATTGATTTGTTGTGTGTTCAATATGATTCCCCACTGATATTTCCCAAACTCACTTATGATCCATTTCACAATCACTTCAGTGGTTGTACATGTTCTTTTCTGATGTCAGGCCTTTCTCACGAAGGTTAGGAGTGCCTACATCATTAGAAAACTAGACATAATGTTAGTGGTTAGTTAAGGCTTGCAGTGAATTTCATATATTCCCCTGTAAGCCATTTGTACGGAAGATAAACGACATGTTGCAAGGCTATTCAGATACATTCGAGTAAATATATCCAACATATTAGTTTACTCATAGTCCTATGTCATTTGAATAACTCAGTAACATATCGTTTATTTCCAGTGACTAATTGTTGTTGTATTGGTACATTTAGTGTCAGGGTATCGAATTTCCACAGTGATACTTTCACCTTCAATACTGAAGATGATTTTTGTCGGTTAATACTAGCATGTAAGAAATTTGAGTGGAGCGGAATAATTTTACAACTGTCATCTTTCATCCAGCATCCCTGAACCACTGTTTAATAAAAAAAGATGAATTGTGTGTACGTGAAAGAGCAAGCTGTCTATCTCGTACATAATGCACTAAAGTATTTACATATTGACAGTATAATAGAGATTACAGACTTCATGAATTCTATTCACTCAAATGTTTTTGTGATTGGAAAACTTGAGATTGCTATTCGATGACCTTATGGGTAGCGGTTTATTTAGACAGCCAATGAAAGTTGTTTTGAGACTTCTTAAGCACTGAACAGTGTTTGCTCTTAGACTCTGACCTATTCCCGAAATCTGCTTATTTCCAGCTTGCAGCTTCTACTTTTTGCGGAGAATAAGTATCACTAAAGCTTATTTCATTCCTTCGCGTTCCTTGTGGAACATAGGACTTCAAGCTTTGAAGTCTCAGTAAGAGTGTTATTTTTAAGGGGTAGGTTTGCTAGTCTAATGTCCACGCTGCCCTTTTTTCTGAAGTTCGTAGAGGCTAATAAACTAGATGAGTTGCTTCAGCCGGGAACCGAACGTACGTGACTGACGAACATTCTACCATTCACATCCACAGACACACTATGCTTGCATAAAACATGAAGAAAAATTGACCTACGGGTTTATTAATTGGAGAATTCATCATTGTCCTGTTTCATTCAGAAGGGTTAATTATTTCTTGTGTTCATCAGGTCATGTTTGATTTTAATAATTGTAGGTTGCATTTATTTATTTATCTTTTTACAATATAGGCATGGTTACCAACAAAGAGAGCAAATTTATCTACCTCATCTTCAGCTGATGGAATAACTCAGAATAAAGAGTTAACTGCTTTATGTAACGGTGAAGAGAAACTTGATAATACTTCTCAAAATCGTGATTCAAAAAGTCATTCTTCTGAGTGTGGAGCTACATTTCCTACTATTTTCTCTTGTGGATCTATTAATCCTGGATTTACTTCAATAAATTCATGTACAGACATTGGTGCACCTCATGTTACCGCTGAAGTGACAAATATCCTAAATCCTTTGAATATGAGTATTTATGGTCTACCATTATCCTCACAGCCTACTGCTTCCATGTACACACCATCACAGTTTCTATATCCACCTTTATACTCTATGAATGGTGGTTGTGATGCAACCATACCGATAGCTTCAGCTGCTGCAGCCTTAGCGCTCAATAACTTCCTAGTACAACAACAACAACAGCAGCAGCAGCAACAACAACAACAAGTTCAATCCCATCAGTTGTTACGTAGTCAGTTGCCACCAACAGTGACAAATCACCAAATATCTGCACCTGGTCTATATTCCTCTTATGTACCGTCAACTTTAGCCACTGCTGCAGCTTTAGCTGCAACTCAACAGCATCCTTCTGCTCCTGATCTACACACTAATACGTCAAATATTGTTTTTCAACAACAACAGCAGCAGCAGCAACAACAACAACAAGCTCTCCTGATATCACTCCTTCTCAGAAGTCAACAAGCTCAATTGGCTGCAGCACAAGTTGCAGCAGCTGGTTACTTATCGCAAAATGATGCATCAAGACTGCCTCCAATCCCTACTCTTCAGAATCCTGGTTGTGTACTAGACTCATCATGTAAGTTTTTTCCCAGTACTATTTTTGTTATTTGATATTAGACTTATTTCTTCATGAATGCAAACTGTTAGTTTTCCAACTTTTAAATTAAACTTTGCAATTTGCAAATTAATTGGTGATTTGCAATCTAAATAACTCTGGGTGAAATTTCACCAGAGTTTCCTGTTGAAACCGAAATTTTTCAGATCACAGTATGTGATATGCGAATTAATTGGTAAATTATGAATTTATTTAACGTATTCTTAGTTCTCCGAAGTAGCTAGCCAAAATTCGAATGGTTTGTATTGATTCGTTTCTTTGTGCTGAGTCCGGACCGGGTGTACCTCTGATGATCTGGGCTCCGAATAGGCGAAGCGGCTGTCCGTTGTTTAGATGACTTCGATGACTGGAAAGCAAGCACTGCTGGTTGATATGAGTAGTGTACAACTACTTATCTCAGCCAATCAGTAGCAGACGGCGTCATACGTCTATGCTTTTAAACTTTTAGTTTGCAAGGTTTTCCAGCTCTCCGTGAAGTATCATAGGTCTTCAATCGGTCATCGGTACGCTTACAAGTTCGACATTTATGAGAAACCAACTTCTTTTACAGCTGTCCACGCAGGTACTTAAATTGGCTATTATTATGGTGGTTTCCGCTGTTGCAAAGGAACTGAAGAGGTTGAGCGGACCCGCAGTGAACGTCTCGACATCTACAGCATGCATTGTTTTAGCGTGAACTAACACCATATTGATTAATTGTGATCTGAATGAGCTTCGTGTGATTTTAGAAGTGCATGGATGGTTGTTACTTCCCGGTTAGCCACACTGCAGTAGTTGATTTCCCCCTGGGTTACCCGAAACAGATAGAGAACTAGTGCTTTGTAGCCGCAGAGCCAGGGGACATCTGCTTGAAGCCAGTCACACATGGCATGTTTGAATTGGTTTTTGGAGTTGCGTCTGTATAAAAATCTTACTTTTGGACTGCCTCAAGCTAATTCGTGATGTATAATTTCCGGCGTTGTCCTTTTCTCACCCCTACTCTTTAGGATGGAGAGGCAGCATAGCTAGCATGCTAGTCATCTAAGGGAAACACGTTGCTGCTGTTACCTCCCTATTTTCCAGAAGTACGACTTCATCAACAGACCTTCAGGATAGTGTAAACAGCATATACTGTGACGGTATCTGCTTTTAGTCTAACACCCATCCAAACAACTTTTCTGGCATGGTAACACCTCCAGGCACATTAGTGTTCCAGCCAGCGTAGCTCGTTGGGTCATTGCGATATGCAAGCCGGACAACCACATCAAGGAAGTAGCTTATCGGTCGAGTTAATCTTGATCACTGACATGCCGAAATATGTAAACCTTACCCTCTGACGACACAACTTTTGACCCAGATGAATTATAACTGTAGTTTGTCAGATTTGTATCATTTTGCATATTGCAAACTAATTGCTGCCTTACGAGCAGTCAAGTGACGTGATTTTGGATTTTCTGCTTGCATACCGGGTAAGGCATGTAACTGTGAACCACTGGAAATAATAAATGCAGCACTTCTGTTTTCCATACGAAATTCAAGTTTACCATTACACTGTATTGTATTGGCAACAATATTGTGTACTACATATTGAAGATAAGGTATAGTAACGAAGTATTCAAACAGCTGGCAATTTAGCACGTGTGAGATAATCTGTTTTTCTGGTCATATATTTGCAGGGAGGTTGGATAACTGTTGCACGGACATAACAAGGGCGTCATCGTCGTTTATCGAGTTTAGAGAACCAATTACTCCTTAATTTTGAGTGGCGTCGAAATTGTTCTAGCCTTCATAGATGTATGAATCTTGAGGACTGTAATAGCATGCAATTCTATATTTATTTGTTTACTGAATATATCACACAGTGAGACAGCATTATTTACTGGATGTAGAAGTTTCAAACACAATTTATTGTTCATAATCATATCAGTTGTCTAACTACACAATTTCGAAGCCTGATTTTTATAGTTCTCTGTATTCCTTCATTTTTTCGTAAGAGATAATAGAATTTTCTAGATGTCCGGGTGGATAGTTGTTGATTCATTCCTACCGCATGTGTGTTCTCAGTAGATTCGATAAATAAAGCTTCCGTATCAATCTGTCCTTCCACTCTATTGCATTCAGTTTTAAAACTGTCATCCTTACGTAGAATTTGTCAACTCTTGTATCCTACCTATTCTACTTTACTGCTCCCCGTTAGTCTTTCCTGGTCTACTGAAAAAGGACTATTCCATCCTGAGAAGGATGTTGACAGTAGTTAGTAGGACTAGTGGTGTTAATCTCAGTCAGGTCGTGACTACTTTAGTTGATAGGCATCTGAATACATGCGAAAAATGGTCTAAAACCATACTCTCAGACCCCCAACACCCCCTCTATTCCCAACTCTCTCCTTGTATCTCATCAAGTAGAACCAGAAATCAGTATAAAATAATCTATGCTCGTACAACCCAGTACAGGAACTCAACGATACCATACTTGGCCCGTGTTCTAAGCGACAGAGACAATGTTAAGCGTGAAACCTGTGACTTGCTTTGTTATTAACAACATAATTTCATACTCTTTTATTTCTCTCTTATTTCGTATTCTTTAGTGAACTCCTTCTTCAAACTTACTTAGCTACCTGAAATATTAACATTGGCTTCCTTTTTTGTACTTTACTATATTCCTTCTATTGTGTATCCACTGGTTCCGACTATATTGGCACTATGAGTATTACAAAATTGTCGTGTCATTAACCATCATGTAATTATTAGTTTTGTGGTTGTTTTTCTTATTTTCTATACTTTTCGGCAATATTAATCTGACAATCATTGTTTGTGAATGCCATAGTCACCACCTCAAAAAATTTTGTATTATTCAGGATTACTCACACTACCACCACAAACACTGCATTAGACCTTGGTAGACTTTGGTACTTTTTCGCATTCATAATTATTTTGTGTTTATCCTGTTTTTTTTTTGTGGTCTTTTTTGGTTTTTTTTTTGCTGTTGGTGTCTTCAGATTTACTTTTTTTGTTTGTTTAATACTTATTTTAAACGTCGGTAAAATTAGATGCAAACATTGTAGATATGTGCTGAAAATTCCACACTGTACCACTAGTACTGTTTCTGGAATAAAGCAAATTATTATTATTATTAAAAAAGGGTCATTCAAATCCACAAATTAACTTAGAAATGAATAATGTCGGTTAAAGGATCCTGTGGATCACATTAAACAAGACAATTTAGTTTATCTAATATCCCGCGATGACTGTGAGATCATATAGGTCTTAGTAGTAGAGACGGGTTCAGTTAAACTAGCGGAGCTCAAAAATATAGTAAAATCTAGATTTGCGCCAATCCTAATAAGACAGGAGATATAGAAAAATAACTCAGCTGTAGCACTTCATGCAGTCACACGCAACCATACAATAGGATTGCACAAAATGACAGTCTTAAAATCTAATATAAGTAGGTGTAGGGGGAGGTTGGTAACTGAGAATAGATGCAATAGGAATGATTCAATACATCCTGTCCACCCGGACATCTAGAAAATTCTACGAACCCTTACGACAAATGGGAAGGAAGAAAGAGAACTATATAAATCAAGTTCCAAAGTTTTGCAGTTACATTTAATGATATGATCATGAACAACAAGCTGTGTTTGAAACTTCTTCATCCAGCATATAATACTATTATACTGTGTGATTTATCCATCAAACAAATTACTGTGGAATTGTGCTAGCTTTCCTTTGAGTTCAAGTTCACTTGCTTGACATCCATATGACGAGTCCCAAATAGAACGAAACGCGCATCCTGGATTCCAATGCTAGTCACCATCCATCAATTAAATGCTTGACATTTTGTCTAAAATTTTGAAACAAGGGGACAATCGATTTGAAACATATTTTCGCTTATAAGATGGTTTGGGATCAATGTTATCCTTTGTTTATGAGGAGACGGCGTCAATAGCTTTATGATCTTTTTATGTTGGTATACTTTTTCTGCTTGTATACCTCTGTGACTGACACATTTCTTTGTCCCACTTTTCACCCTGTTAAGCCTTATCGCAGAATTGAATCCTCATATAACAACTTCGTCAGTGAATTTCATAATTTATCAGTCTAAATCAGTCAAGTGTGTTTAGTTATGTTTTAGTTGATTGTGTGTAACAGTCTACCTAACTAGAGGTGGTAACTCCTGCTATATAAGCTTATTAAAGAAACGATAGGACTGTGATTTTTCCCCTGCAGAACCTCTATTGATATAAGAAGTGGAATACAACTTCTTGAAAGGTCTAAAAAGCCAATAGTTACTGGGATCATTGACACTAGGGTATTTTGACGACAAACTCTTTGCTCATCATAGTACTGGGCAGCTGTTTCGTCAGCCTAGTTTGGGACTCACCAGCAGTACGAACCCACTGCCAAGGTTCAAACCCAGGACCTTCCGGTCACAAGTCAAGCTCGTATACCATTCAGCCACTGGGATCCGATTCAATGGCCAGCCCATGAATTCTAACTTCTACCAATTCGTGATTTAGCGCGACTGGCACCAACCAATGTCATCGGCGGGAAATCCATCCTCACATCCCGACTAGATGCTCCTCGCTGGTCACAACTTCTCACTAGAACTTCAGGAAACTCCCTCCTCTAGCCAATCACTAGCGAGCATCAGCTAACAACTAAGTCCATCTCATGCTGTAATTCTTAGAGTGGAATGTTGTCTATCAAAGCTAGTATATAATATAATTTATTTATCTCTCAATGCCTAATTAACTTAATGATAATCATCACAGTTGTTTTCATTGTAACTGACTGACTCTCTGTATTAAAGTCACTACAACCTTGATGTGTGTGTGTGTTTTTATTGATTAGTGTGTAGGTAACCACTTTTCAACTGCTGAATATGAAATATGTAGAATGAATGGTCGAAATTTTCTATTAAAAAAAAACAAAAAAACAAGCATGAACATTGTCACTGTTGTTTTTTTGTTATATAGAGCTGAATAGTATGATCAAAACAAACTTTTATTTCATCTTAAGTTCCAAAATTTAAGGTCATTTAGAATCAAAGTGTTATGATTGTTGTTTATTTTCCTATATATATTCATTTACATACACACAAATAGTATATGAAGGTCAGTGGTTTGATTGTTTGTGTACACACTGCGAGAATATTTGTTTTATATATGTGAAATTGTCAACTTCATCGGATCAGTCTAATGATGATTTATTCAAATATAGCTTTTATGATCTCTTATGGTTTCGCCTAGTCATGAATATTTCTTTTTTCCGTTGTGTGTGTGTTTGTGTGCACACGTGTATTTCAGGTCCATTAGGAAGTTTAACATCTGGACCATATGGCATTAATAATTTTTGCTCACAAAATCCAATGACAAATGTGGCTTATATCAATGAAAAAGGCCATGTAAGCTTTGTTTTGCTTTTTTATTTCTTTCTCAGTATAATAATAATAATGATATAATGTTATACATATCTAAGCATTTGTTTCACCTGTGTAGGCGCATTGATTAAATCCGTTATTTGTGTGTTAAGGTGGTATAGTTGAATTGATAAGGCTGCCTATCTATTATCACCGATGATATTCCTAATTGTGGTGGACTGACTGGATTATACGTCAGACTGTGGGGAGAGAGGGGCTAGAAATCGCTGAACCACCTATAAGAAGACTCTAGAAGATCTGGATTTTGCAGATGATTTTTGTCCAATATCACCCAAACTCGAAGAACTACTGGTGAAAACCAACAAACTGGCTGAAGAGGCAGGCAGCGAAGACATAGAGAACATAGAGACAGGACGGAGGTGATGAAGATAACCAACCAACGAACAGTGACAACAAACAGCAACAGTCAACATCTACAGGAGAAATTTGAAAGAAATTACTTCCTTCACTTATTTAGTCAGCCAGCATCGTTTCAGCCACAGGCGACAGCACGGATGAAGATGTAAAAGCCAGCCAGAATCAGTTTACATGTATGTGTGGAGACATGTACATAGGGAGGACCCATCGGTCTCTGCAGGTTAGGGCTACAGAACACATTCCAAAGTGGCTGCAACAACAACTGAAATCGCCAGACACAAGTGAACCCGGAAATAGATGTCCAACATCATCTATAGCCAGGCATATTATAGAGACGGGTCATAAGGTTGATTTCAACAATGCTTTTAAGCCGATATATAAAACAAGGTTGGGCCACATACTTAAATTCATTGAAGCCTTAGCCATAAAAAGACTTAAACCTGTCTTATGTGTCCAAAAATTATTTGTTATCACCTTAAACCTGCCTTGGTAATTCAATTTAGAACCAAGGACCAATTTACTTCCTAATATTTTCAACCCCTTCTTTGCCTTGTTTTTCCTCCTTTTATCTTTCTTACCCACACTTTGCGTCTCTCCACCCATTATATGTGACCTTGACCTGTATACAATCTGACCTGTATTGTAATTATTCATGTCTTCTTGCATTATATAAAAACTGTATATGACAAGTACGTGTGTGATCAGAATGTCCGAAAATTGTTGCACCAATACATACATTACACGTTTCAGATAAACTACGTCTTCTTATTGTGTTGTCGAGAATCAGAAAGACAAGATACGCCTCCATCAACCTGAAATTTTCTACATTCCGTGGCATAAACTACCAAGATTCGGAATCTGTTCAATACAAAAGTTAAGTTAGTCAATTCTTCTCTAAGGGTCAGAAAATTGGTCAGTGTGTTACGAAAAGGATTTCCAACAAGCTACAGACATTTATCAAGATCTACCTTCGCTGGCTCCATATTGAAGATGAAATGGCCGGCCGCCCATGAAGAATTAGCAACAACAAACTCTGGCTGGAGTTCAATTTATAGTCCGACAAGAAATGTCTTTTTAATGATGTCCACCTTTTATGGATACTTGTTCTTTGGGTCATTTATTTTCTTCTTCTTATCTGTTTGTTATTTTCAGCTCCTGGAAACCTTACCGATATGTCGTGATTTTAAAGCTGGTAAATGTCGTCGTAATTCAGAGTGTCGTTATGTTCATCTTGTTGACGGTGAGTATTCAACACTCTATTATTGTTAGCATTTTCTTTCTTATTTCTTGCTACAAACATGACTAATAGCTTACTTGTGGTTACTAAATGTATTTTTAACAGTTGCATGGAGAGACTGAGCATAGATAAGTTCGTGCATTCTTCACACCAGTCGATAAGAGATATCTCTTCTGGAGATCAGTAGGACTGATCTTGTGCAAAGTTGTCTTGTCGACACACCACACAATCAACACACATATGATATGAAACAGCTGTTCAGTACTTTCTGATTTTCAATGGTTCTCTCTCTGAATCAGTTTATGACGTGTAGCTTGGATTCAGTCGAATTCTTGCAAACATCAGCATTTGGAAAATGAATCTAATATTCACTAGTCACTGACTATAAGATGAAGTCTCCGGAAGTTTTTGTGGAAAGTTTCAGCCAGTGGCGTCCACCAAGTTGGGTGTGCGGTCGAATACTCACCAATAACATTAGATGACGGTTGCACTATATGTTTTCAGTTGGTAAAAGATAGAATTTATGACCCGACCGTTGGATTTCATCCCAGTAGCTGAATATTATTCAATGGGCTTGCTTGAGTTTGATACCTTACGTACTAAACTGAAGAGTTCCAAACTAGGACGAAACAATTATCCAGTATTCTCTAGTTTTCAGCGGTTCTTCCAACTGTTGTCAATCCACGCGATCTTATTTGAAGGCAGTCAAATCCCTAGAAGTCAACACCTGAAAAATATTTTATTTATTTGGCAATAAGCAGAAGAAATATATATATTTCATTTCTAGGCGAGGACGCTGGCAAAACGCAGAGTCTTCTGAACACCTTGAGCAGCAATCTTCGTATGTTTGGCATGCGATTCGCCCCTGTAAAATGTGAGATGATGTTGCAGGATTGGACTACACCGACTCCTAGATTAGAAATAGGAAGTGAAGTAGTAGAGCACGTTGACCACTTCACTTACTTGGGAAGTACCATCAGCCAGCGTCAACGCGTTGATCTCCGACGAAATCTCAGCACGAATACAGAGGGCTAGTTTCGCATATGCTAGTTTACGCCGTCTCTGGCGTAGACGCGATATCCACCTATCGACCAAAAGGGCGTGTGTACTGCTCAACAGTCCGCTCCGTCCTCCTTTATGGCTGTGAGACCTGGCCATTGAGAGCAGAAGACATGAAAAGATTAGCTATCTGTGACCATAGGCGTCTGCGTTCTATCTCCCGTGTGAAGTGGTATAATAAGGTGAGCAATATTGAGGTTAGGCGTCGAGTGCTAGGTAAGGCGGGGAAATCAACAGACGAGACTGTGAAATTACATCGACTGAGATGGTTGGACATGTGTTACGTATGCCTAGTCATCGCCTTCTTCGACGGGTAATGTTAGCTGATATAGGACCAGGCTGGAAAAGAGCTCGCGGTGGCCAAACGAAAACATGGCTTCATCAGTCAATGAAATCTACAACAGTTAGTTTAAGCCACGTAGGAAGATGTAGATTTCCTGGTTGGGGTCCTCGGGATGGTAAAATCCAATGGTTGGGAACAATTGGTGACATGGCTCAAAATCGTTCTCAGTGGCGCAGATGCATCCATTTCTTGTGACTTATAATACCCAACGAAACTATATTATTCTTCGTTATTACTATACCTTTATCTCACACCTCTGTTTACTGACTATATTATGCATTTCTCCTACTTTCTTCTCTTGCTGTGTGTGCTACATGGAGTGTGGCGACTTCAACTGCCACACATATGTGCAAAGTTCTATGTCGAAAATAGGCAGACAGACAGACATATATTTTACTAAATGTCTTTTGATTTAACATATGGGATGTGGGATGAAAAAAATCACCTCATGTGAAAGTGAATTTTTAGCTTCTGGATTGAATTGTGTGGATAGGGTTGAGCAAATTAAATTCAAATGTAAAGACGGTGATTAGAATATTAAGGTTGATGAAGATTTGACCGACTGACTGACTGGTTTCAACGTAGAACTTTGCACATATGTGCAGCAGTTCCAGTTGCTACTATCCATCCACGTAGCACACAAAGCAAGAGAAGAGAGTAGAAGGAGAGAGAGAAAGATTCAGAAGAGAGATAACGAACAGATTAATTTCGATTAATTTCCCTGAAGAAGTTCGGACCAGATTGCCGAACGAAACGTTGGAATTAATCATTTCAATTTCGCTGAGATTTTACAAATATAATTTTATAAATGCCTATATCACCAACTGTCTCCAGAAAACAAAGCGCGTGCGTGATCGTGGGTAAAACGAAAGAATACTGGAAGTTAGCTGTGTTTTTTTCAATTAACTAAGCACCAGAAGAAGGGACATGGTTATTGTTTGACATTATTATAGAGGTTATTAATAATTTTACATAAGTTTATCTGACAAAACACGCAGTGATGTTCAATATTAATAACTGGATGACGTTTTGAGAATAATTTATTGCTCATAATCAATTTCACTACATTCATAGAATTTAACGATCATTGAAAACACCAGGAAGCACCGGGCAGTTGTTTTATTCTAGTTTGAAACTATTCAGAAGTAAACGCCCACAACTCCACCGGAGGCCGAACCCTGGACCTTCAAATTACGAGACGGAATTCGTTTATCATACAGCCACTTGAGCAGAAATTCAATGACCCGTGATGCTAGTTTGTGATGATATGCTTTCGATGGTCACCCTATTTTACGTTGATGTCGTAGAGTCCACTGGTTATGAGTTCTTAGTATAGCTTCAGGATTTTCATCCAGTAGCCATCAATCAGCTGGAGATTGATATTTAGATTTTCGGATTTTGTAGAAATTTGAAATTAATCGAAATTCCCTATAAAAACCCAATGATTTAAATAATCACCAATACTTTGTTGTAATGTGTTATTCCTAGACTGAGTGTTATTCAACAACAATTAGTGAAGTTGAAATAGAATATATAGTAGTTACACAACAAATTTTTCTCATATTTTAAATAAATTTTTGTTTTGATTTTATCTTTCTATTCCTTAATATATTTAGAAAATGTTGAAGTCAATCAAGGACGTGTAATTGTATGTCGTGATGCAGCTAAAGGCAGATGTACACGTGTACCGTGCAAATATTATCATATTCCATTGTTTGCTATATCAGCTAATCGAAGTATGGCACTTAATTCTGCTTTAGCCAATGCAACAGGCTTTTCTACTGTATGAACTCTCTGCAGGGAGAAGGGATATAATAATGAGGAATATGAGGTGTATATCCATACGATTTACTTTTTTTCCCTATCAAATCTCACATTACAACATTTAGGTGTTTTAAAGATATATATACATATTGATTTCTGTTTAGAAAAAAAACCCAGTTGAAGTCATCTGTACAACCGAGTTCTGATGGCGAAACTCGATATATTCGGAACAGATATTTTCTACCACTATTCTTATTCTTATTTTTGACTCTCTTGTAATCATTTTTGTGTATTTTTACTGAAACCACCCCCTCACATACAAACACACACCTATTTTTCATTTCTTTAAATGATAGTGTTTTCTACTCTACTCGCCTTAAGAGAACTATACTTCGACTACTCAAACATTGAACAAGTGTCGACTTTGCTCCTTTCTTTTCTCTTGATCAATACTTACTAATTAATTATCTTTTTTTTCTATTACAAATTAAAAGAACAATTTCGATGAAACAATCAATTAGTTAGTTATCCAGAAGTTCATAAGTAGAATAAATGAACGAATTCCATTAAATAAATTCATCTATCCTGATCCCTGATCAGTCTCATAATTATTGATTACTTTTTTCTCTCTCTCTGTCGATTCCGTGATCCCCTCCATCTGTTGTAACTGCTGACTGACTAACGCGTCTTCTACAGCATCATAGTTCAACACTGAAATCACGTTGTTGCTGCTGCCACGTGAAGAGAAGAACTCAATCAACAAGTCGTTACACACACACACACGGTGTGTATTGTCAGTGGTTCATTCATACATAATCCAAGGTGACAGTCGATGAATGAGATGTTGTTGTTGATTTTCTTTTCTGTGTGTGAGTAGTGTTTACGATCACACCTACATAATTTTTCTGTTTTCTCAGACAACAGCACAGCCTAGCACATTTTTTAAAAAAAAGTCGTAGGTGTTAAGTATCATCACAACAATCAATTTGGACTGTATCTTTCTTTATTTTCTTTTTTTTAAATTTTATTACTTTTGTTAATAACGACGATTACGCCTTACTTTGTTATTCTACTGTATTGTATTGACGAGACAATTGAGACATTTATATTACCATTATTATTATTACTATTGTTATAATTACTATTATTACTGCTGGATACCGTTTAACACAGTTGTTTAGATTCAAATTGTTTTTTGTTTTTGTTCTGTTTTTTTCCTTCTTTTAAATATATTTATTTGATATACATATTACATCAGTAATAATAGCAATAATAATACAAAAGTAATTACTCTCACTATCAAATTATATCCGTAATAATAATAGTAATAATGAGGATGGTGACAGAAATGCCTTTTCTAGCGTACTTTCTTTTTTACGATGATAGCCTTGATTAGTTTTCAAAAGGAGGATATGCATACTTTGACGACGAATCTCTGCCCTTTTCTCGGTGAAATAGTTACCTTATATTACCTATTATATGAAGCATGAATTGGCTTAGTGGGAAAAAATACTTGGCTATCTTTGATCATAGGTGTTTGTGTTCTCCATCTCCTGTATAATAGAGGGAATAATATTGAGGTTAGGCGTCGAGTGTGTTACGTAGGTGTGGGGAAGTCCCGTCGGGTTGGTGCAAGTCACTGATTATCCCGATATACAAGAAGGGATAATAGAGAGATTAGCTTGACTAATATAGTATCTAAAGCTCTAGGCTCAACAATATTGCGTAGACTAAGTGGTGCTTGGGAGGCACAAACACGAGAAAACCAGGCAGGTTTTAGGCCAAGAAGAGGGTGTATTGATCATATCTTCACTCTCTGACAGATTCTAGAACATACGCATTCCTACTGGCGTCCAACAATCATTATATTTCTTGACCTAAAGGTGGCATTCGATTCTGTCGACCGAGAGGTACTCTGGCGATGCTTGGCTGTAAAGGGAATGCCGAGAATATACATTGCACTGATTAAGGCACTCTACTCGAACTCATACAGCCAGGTGAGGGCTTACGGCGAGTTGTCATCCGAAGTGGTGACGACTAGTGGTGTCCGTCAAGGATGCCCATTATCCCCATTCCTATTCAACTTCATCATAGATGTACTAATGGACTTAACCCTAACTCACTTCAGAGACCCAGGAATCGACTTGCTACCAGAGAATAATCTCGATATAGTCCTTCTAGGCGAGGACGCTGACAAAATGCAGAGTCTACTGAACACCTTGAGCTGCAATCTACGAATGTTTGGCATGCGATTCGCCCCTGTAAAATGTAAGATGATGCTGCAGGATTGGACTTCACCGACCCCTAGATTAGAAATAGGAAGTGAAGTGGTAGAACACGTTGACCGCTTCAATTACTTGGGAAGTACCATCAGCCAGTGTCAACGGGTTGATCTATGACGAAATTTCAGCACGAATACAGGGGCTAGGTTCGCATACGCCAGTTTTCGCCGTCTCTGGCGTAGACGCGATATCCGACTATCGACCAAAGGGCGTGTGTACTGCTCAATAGTCCGCTCCGTCCTCCTTTATGGCTGTGAGACCTGGCCATTGAGAGCAGAAGATATGGAAAGATTAGGTGTGTTCGATCATAGATGTCTGCGTTCTATCTCCCGTGTGAAGTGGTATAATAAGGTGAGCAATATTGAGGTTAGGCGTTGAATGCTAGGAAAGGAGGGAAAATCAGTCGACGAGACTGTGAAATTACATCGACTGAGATGGTTAGGACATGTGCTACGTATGCCTAGTCATCGCCTTCCTCGACAATGGGCAATGTTAGCTGATATAGGGCCAGGCTGGAAAAGAGCTAGCGGTGGTCAAACGAAAACATGGCACCAGTCAATGAAATCCACAACAGTTAGTCTAAGCCACGTAGGAAGGTGTAAACTTCCTGACTAGATGGGGTCCTCGGGACGGTAAAAACCAATGGTTGGAAACAATTGGTGACATTGCTCAAAATCGTTCTCAATCGTTGGTGCAGATGCATTCACTCCTTGTGACTTATGATTTCGAATGAAACTGTTTTGTTCTTCGTTATTACTATTCCTTTGTCTCACACCTCTGTTTACTGTCTCTATTATGCATTTCTCCTACTTTCTTCATTTGCTCTGTGTGCTACATAGAGTGTGGCGACTTGAACTGCTGCACATCGGTGCAAAGTCCTATGTTGAAAACAGACAGGGGCTGTGAAGTTATATCGATGGAGATGGTTAGGAGATATGTTACGCATGCATGTCTAGCCATCGCCTTCCTCGACGGGCACTGTTAGCTGACATAGGATCGATGAGGTTGGAAAAGAGCTAGTGGTGGTCAAACCAGAATTTGGAATCAATTCATGATAGTTAATTTGAGCCAGCCACCTAGGAAGTTGTAGGCTACTTACTTGGTTGGTGTCTTCAGGATACTGAGAACTAATGGCTGGAGACAGTTGGTGATATGGCTCGAAATCGTCCTCAGTGGGGCAGATACATTCAATCTTTATGATCTGGTATATCCATTTGACCCTATTGTTTTTCTAATAATGAAGCTTGATTTCAGGCAGTAATACTTGAATAGAAACATGTACGGAAAGTTTCAGCGTATTTAGTCCCAAAATATTTCCTCTTCATGCACGATTTACATGTAATGTAATAATCTGAAGTATATCATGTGACGTAGCTTTGTTGCACACGAAGAGAGTTGGAAGCTAATTAAATATACGCGCGAGATTATTGAGCGGTTATTTGATGTAATTACACGATTACAACAAAAAGAAATGCAGAAGAGTTTAAGTATTATGATGGTAGCCCAGTAATTTAAGCAGGCTGTGGGATCAGTGTTACTATTCCTTCTCCCTCACATTTCTGCTCGTTATCGTCCTTTGGAAAGTTTTTTCTGTCTTTTTCTTCTTCTGAGTGCTACGTGGACTGTGGGAATTCGAACTACTCCACTTCTGTGAAAAGTTCTATGTTTAGTCAGGACCAGTTGATAACGCTTTGTGTGTCGGCAGTTCACTGTTAGAGAACCCCCGTCAACCGCGAACGTCATCCTGCTCTGATTCCCAAACGATGCATTCCTAAGCCACTGTCAGTTTACTAGGTTATGGTAAACCCGGAAAAAAATTAGATTGAGTGGCTTTACAGGCTACCGACTCCACTACTCCTGAAATTTTGAATCTTTTCAGTCTTGTATTTCACCTAGAACTCATGTACCTTGGTACTCTTGTACATATTAATCGAAAGCCCAGTTTGGTCAACAAAAAACATTCTCTTGGAGGCATTTTCTCTTCAGGTTCTGCAATTATTTATGCATACTGTTTTGTTAACGAGATCCATTTGAATCAGAAAAATGCCAATAGGTATAAGGTTCAATTACATAAATAGCACTATTCAAATTTAAATGTTTCTAGGTTGAAGTTCTATGTTTAGTGTAACACACTAGTTTGTTAAAATCATCATAAAGGTGAATAAGTAGGAGCAATGTTAATAAGAATCGAATGATTTGCGAAGTTTTTTTTTGTGTGTTAAAATTTCGTTTGCATTCAGTCAGATTAATCAACATTCTATTGAATATATCAAAGGATATCGGGGTTTAGTGTATGTGTGGATGCAATTGGAAAAACTTATCTTCAAACAGTGGCAATCTTACTAATTAAGATTGACACCTGTAGATATTTTTTTCTGGGCTATTTCTAACCGCTCTAACTTGATTTTTACTGTTTTACACTAATTATTTAGTTAAGACGTTGATATCTGAAAGACTGTGTAAATTGATTGATTTTTCATCATGAGCTGACATTAGTTAGAGAACCAGTGGAAAACCTGGGAGTACTGGACAGCTGTTTCGTCCTGGTTTGGGCTCTTCATCAGTACGCACCCACCGGGATTCGAACCCAGGACCTTCTGGTTACAATGAGATGCTCACTAGTGACTTGCCCTATTCAGGTGGGTAGTCACCTGGGGTTCTAGTGAGAAGTCGTGACCAGTAGGGTGCAGCAGGTCGGGCGTGAGGACAAATACTCGCCGAAGACATTGGCTAGGGGTCGCGCTATGTCGTGAATTGCCAGAAGTTAGAATTCATGGACCATTGGATCGGGTCCCAGTGGCTTAATGGTATACGAGCTCGCCTTGTAACCAGAAGGTCCTGGGTTCTAACCCCGGTGGGTGGGTACTGATGAAGAGTCCCAAACTAGGACGAAACAGCTGTCCAGTATTCCCAGGTTTTCCAGTGGTTCTCTAACTAATGTCAGCTCATGATGAAAATCCTGTAAGCAATCAAATCCCTACAAACCAACACTTGAATAAATTGATTGAAGCAGTTTATTCGATACGGTGGATTTTAATTACTAATATGTGTAGAGAATAGATGCATCATTCAGGATTTTTTTGGTGAATCACCTTTCGACAGTGTAAGTATAAATGTCAGGCTAATTGACTGAACCACCTTATTCATATGTGTGCCATTAGTTGGTAGGGATTTGATTGATTTCTGTTTGGATCATGGATTTATATCTGTTGAAGAACCATTGGAAACCAGAGAATACTGGATGACAATTCTGTCCTAGTTTGGGAGTCATCAGTAGCATGCATCCATGACCCCACTGGAGGTCGAACCTAGAACCTTCAGGTTACGAGGCCAAGCTTATTGAGTATTGAGCCAATAAGATGGAGTCTAATGACCAGCCCAGGAATTCTACCTTTTGTCGACCTTTGGACAGTGTTATCGGCGGGTAATTTTCTTCACATCTGAACTGGTGGATGCAACCGGTTACAACTTCTGACTGGAACTCTAGGTAACTTCGTGCATACTGATGAAGAGCCCTAAACTGGGACGAAGTAGCCATCTGGTACTCCTTGATTTCAAGTAGTATTGTAAAAACAGAAGACAAGGGCCAGGCAACAGATCGTTTATTTAGGAAATCAACAGATATTTATAGCTTACCATGCACATTATTATATATTATTGTAAGCAAAAAAACACCGCCTTCTGACTGGTGGTTTCTCACTGGAAGTTAATCTTTCATCTCTTCGTGGCCGTTTCTTGGATTTCAGATTATCTATCTGCAAATTGTATCCGCCTACTCAAAGTTTGCTGTGGTTAGTTGTTGAATCTGTCTTTGTTTTTATTTTTCTCACGAC